TATATAAGTGTCTTGAAACTTTCCTACTGGCCAAACTGTTCAACTTCCAAAACATTTATAGTTTACAAGTCGAGTTCAAACAACGAAAAAAAAACAAAAAGGACTAGGAATCAAAACACTAATTCTTTTATGCAACATCGAGGAGAAGAAAACTTCATAAGTTCCATGTATAAGCTCGAAGAATGAAAAAAGAAACAATAAGAAACTTACTCTAAATGAAGCCCCCTTGCTTTTTTCTCACTTCTATCCTGAATCAAAGAAGAAAATAGAAAAGAAAAGCTATTACGTTTCATTCACCTTTCCTTGGTCAAAACGAACTCTAGCACTGGGTCGCGATTCAAAGAAAAAAAAAAGCAGAAAATAAAGCTAATTACTCCTAATAGCACTCGGAGCGGTCCAAGTATTTAGTACCGTCGGGGCGCGCTCTAACGCGTACTGACGCTACTAAATACTCGGATCGCGGCGATCGCCACTGCTGTCGCGAAGTATGAACGCTGCCCTAAACTGCTTTCGGAAGGCGCAAGGTCGTAGAACATAATGGAACTAAATTCGAAGTATAGTGCTCCATAAATAATCCCTTGGATAAGCAGACCACCATATGGCAAGGGAACATAAAAGGGGCCGAGAGCCGGCCGGTATGTAGCGAAGGTGAATCGAAGTGATAGAGAAGGATCCAGATTGTGAAGGCAGAGTTCAGATTATCGGCGCTGAGAATAGTGCTTCTATTTAGCTTCCAAATCGCAAAAGTAGGACACCTGCTATTTCAAGTTCATTCTGGACATCTTATACAGTAACGGTGATAAAGAGTATAGGACTCTAGTTCTGCACCTTGGCTAATCGTGGGAGCTGTCTTTGAAAAGCAAAGGTACACAGATATTTGAGTACCCCTTCGTAATTATCGAATTAAATCGAAAGAACGCTCCCTTGCATTTGTATAAACTATACATTTGGAGATGTGGGGCGGAGGTGGTGTAGTGACAAGTGGCGCGCTTACCACTCGCGCGGTCCTGGTTCAAATCCCGGGTCGACTCCCGCCCAGGCCAACCAAGCCTTCTACCCTCCGGGGACGGTAAATTGGTACCAGATTCGTCTGGGAGGATAAAACACTGACTTGTACATCGGCTGGCCCCGCAAGTCATTGTATAGGCCACATCGCATTCAATAAGCCACTACGATTCTGAATGGAAGTAGAATGCGTGCCGCATCCCACAAAGGGATTGATCAACGGCGAAGACTTTGGACTAGACTTTATATATTTGGAGCTTTGAAAGAAAGCGCTACGCACTTCATTCAGAATATGGCGTAGGATGCGATACTCATGAATCATTTCCGTCTGATACAGCTACCATTCAGCCTTGTACTAGACAAACTAAAGATCACAACAGTTAGGAAACGGCAGTCACCCACCGAAATTAAAGTGAAATACGCGGCCACGCCCACCTCATCTCCTGGGTATAATGCACTCACAGTCCTCATCATTACGTACTGTCGGGGCGGTTCAGTGCGGCTGCGTTTGGCGCGGTGCCAAACCCGCTCTCCACCAGTATTTAAAGCGAGCAAATGATATGACTGTATTATATCCTCCGTATTACTCGTTTTCTACCACTTTTTGTCGCATACGCGTTTCAAAAAAAGGCTGAGAACGGCTTCAACAGTGTGCACACTCATACTGGCTGACACGCCCCACCGGTCCGCAATGATGAGGACTGTATACAACAAGATTATAAGTTAAGAAAAACAAGGTGTATACAAGGTCCCCGAAAAATGTGTGTGAAGTTGTGTTGGGCCATGAGCACACACAACTGGGTATAGCGTAACCCTGAAGTCCGAGAAAAACTGGGTGCACGCTCAACTACTCCCGCACCTCGCTGCAGGTGGTAAGCAGAATGAGCGCCGCTGCCGTATAACACGGACTAGTAAACTTCGATAACTGAACCGACTCACAGTATGCCCAGTTGTGTGCGCTACCGCCCGACACATTTAATTTTACGCACAACTTCCGAGGGTGCTGTAAGCATCCTGTTTTCTGTTGGTGGCTACTGAAGTTGTTTCGAAAAGTTTTGTTTATAACTAGTTTTTCAAAATACATCCGCAGAATGGTGCGCCACATAGTTTAGTAATTCAAGTTCAACCCACCTTACTGCTAATGTGCCTGCCATTCAACATGTCTACACAATTCTTTGTATTCAGATTTCCTTTTTTTTTCGAAGAAATTTTTCGAATATAATACTAATGATTATATTTTACAGACGCAATGTTATAAAACAGGAAACACCTCATAATATTATGCGTCAAGGACTGATGTGTTTGTATGCATTGACGCCGCACACGGTGCACGAATATTCATCAATGCAAATAACTTTTCTGCACCATCAGACCAGAATCGCCTTTGTTAGTTCTTTTTTTGATAAGAACCACAATTTCATACTGAGAACCGAAGGAAGTATTACTGGATCTGTTCGGTAAAAAACCCTGATTCTTTGATAACATGTGCCACGACGCCAGAAAGTGAGTATAGGCGACATGGCGGTGGGACTATTTCATCGCAAAAATACTACTTCTTACTCGGTTGGGGATTGGTAACATAAAGCATAAGCTGATAATCGCTAGGTACTCAAACATAGTAACAGCTGAGGCAAATATATGGGGAATAATTGCAAAAGAGCTTAAGTTAGACGGCCAAAAACCAGCCAAAAATTAATTAGCACGGCACGAGCACTTTTGGACGAGTTTCCCGTTGGCAACAATCGATAGATGGCGCTGCACGTATGTAATCATGTGTCCATGAAGCAACGCTTCACATCATTCACGCTTCCTAAATAAGATACGAGTAGCACGTCGATGTGACTGTACGGCCATTTGTGGGTGGGCGGTTGCGGTGGGCGTCTGGTCGGCATGTTGCACCTTGGTTAGGCGCTATAATGCGCCCTTTTTGGAAAACGTGCCACGCAGCGCCTGCTAAGTATTCTTTCCTTCGACCCCCTTCAAAGTGGTCCGAATTGCGTTTCGTTACCAGTTCATGACGTCGTTGTGCACGGCCACAGTACTTCTTGTCATAGCCCCTTACTCAAGCCGAAAATCCCAGCTTGCCTCTGTCATCAGATGTCTCTTCAGGTATTCTTTATAACAATCACCAGGGAAAACTCTTCTGTCAAGGAAGGAGTCGGAGGGGCGCACAGGGGAACGGTCATGGAAGCGCAAAGCCATGTAGGTGGTCAAGAGGGGACCGTGAGCTGGGTGGTCGATACGACGCGAGAAATTGCCCGAAGGAAGGAAGGGCGGATCAACGATCGGGGTACGGTAGGCTATAGGAGTACTGCCTGAGGGGGGCCCCGAATCGTCGCTAGGTGGTCAAGACCCGCAGATCGTGCGGGCAAGTCAAGTAAGAGACCGGGACAAAGCCGAAATCCTCTCCGCCTACTCCCTCCCACCTTCTTGTCCTGATACGGCCTAAGTGGCCGTGAGTCTAAGTGGCTCTAGGGGACCAGCGAAGCCTGGGGAAATATTAACGAGGTTCCGAACGTTGCATTGGTCGCATCCATCGGATTCACCTTCACGCCGTCCGACTCCTTCCTGTCGATTTCTACTTTCTTTTGATCTCACCTATTTTTGTTACGCCTATTGTTGTGTTACTAAGTAAATTTTTCTATTACTTGCTGGTTTTGCTTCTGTGGCAATAGACGTCCAGTTGATCTCGAACCAACTGGGCGTACACTTCTGTCATTCAACAAGTGTACCATCTGAGAATCGCTGCGCTTTCCACTTCAGAATGAGCGCGACGGTTACAATCCCCATTCCTTCGCGACCAAATACGACACCCCCTCCACACTGTGATTTCCACAGGAATAGCGTGAAAGTTTCTTTTCATGTTTCTAGGGAAAGTTAAAAAGCACTACCACCGAGGATTCAATCCCTTGACTACTTGCTTGCTGGACAGATGCTTTACCGGCTGAGCTACACTGCCACGATCAGGCGTTACTTCGCAGTCTTCTGTGAAGGCGTCTTCACGAGCTGGTGCCTAAGACAATACGGGAAAACCCGTCGCAACTCCGCTCACAAAAGCATTGCATTGAAGGCGAGTCGAATGTACCGTCCCAAGCGCGTACGTAGGGCCGACCAATTGGGGTTTCCTTGTAGGTGAGAATTCTGGCACTAGTACAGTCGATGAGGCCATAAGGCAGGGCGGCGGAGTTCAGTCCATTGCGATCTTCGAGACGAGCCCACGCACTGGTCGCATGTGGCTGACCAGGTCTGTGCTTGGGAGGGAAAAGTCTTTGCGCAGCGCCGCCGCATGGCCACTTCAACTGGGGATACGGGCAAAGGAATCTTAGTTTGCCTCTCTGCCGCCGCGACGATGCTCGCGGCGTTTTTCAAAGTCGTGTTAGTCTGTACTGGAGCGCCAGATCTCACGTGGGCTACGAAACTGTAGGCATTTGTGACTGGTTTCGTCTATATATTGCCTGGTTGTCGCTATTTACGACCTGGAACCATCGTCATTTGCGGGAGCGACTTCGCACGCGTCGCCCTTCTGCGCGGCGAAATTACGACTCTGTTGTAACTGTAACAGGTCTGAAAGTCTTGATGCATCGACTTATATTAGGTCCTATATGAAACAACAAAAAAAAACACAGGGGAAGTGGCATGGAATTGAAGCTTGTATTATTGTGCAGCTTCGGGAAAATCCCTATGCAGTGGGGAATACCGAAATCTGATTAACTATTTGACCAGGGTGTCTACCCGTACCGGACTGATGTCTTCCGTCAGTTCTACTTGGTGAATGGATAAGCACAGATCAGTGGGGGAAATAACTGAGTGAGTAGTTCAAAAACGGACGGCCTCCACCCATTTTAGAAGTATGAATTTAGTCCTTTCATCACGTCTTCTAAGTATGAAAGGCTATCTACAGAAACTCTAAATACGTGTTCCCAAATAGCGACGGGAGTATGTTTCAGATTCAAGCGATAGCAGATGGTCTGCGAGAGCCGTGTGATATAAGAAATATGTCAAAAGGTGCAAAGATTTGCAAATTGAGGTAATGGTTCTGGAGTATCGAAAAGAAGTAGGAGAGTAGGTTCTACCTCTGTGTCCTTTACCTTTGGAAAACCTGGCCCACGATAGGCTTTTTGTACTTATCGATGCCATGACAGCCGCAGTACTTCATTTCTCTACGCTCTGACATTCGCAGTTTTTTTTTTTTTATTTATTTCTTAAGGACCCCTACCAAAGTTTCAGTCATCAGCTAACCATGCATTTGACGTTTGGGTCCGCAGTCGAAGAGAGTGTACGACTTTCGTCAATCGAAACAGCGAGATAAAGAGGCCACAAGCGCTGACTAAGATAATTTTATACCTAAATCTAACTACTCACTTCAACTACTTACTTCATCACTTTTGGTTCACCTCAGCATTGTGTCTTCTCGCTTTTTAGTTTGTAGCCTAGAACTTACACTCCTTATCCCTGGGACGGAGTGGGCGTGGCATTTGAACGTGGCACAGAATGGATTACTTGTGGGATATTTCAGTTTGAGACAACTGTCATCTTGTTCTATGTTGGACAGAGGCACGACCACAGTTGTATCAAAATGAAAATATCTCTCCAAAAGCACAGCCACCGCCAGGTTTAGTTGAAGTACGCAGCCACGCCTACCACATCTCAGGGATATCTAACACACTTTTATGAGTCAATCTACAATCACTGAAGAACATCAGGGGTTGACTTGTACAAAAGTTCTTATGATGAAGAGGTGGAATGAACTGCTTTCAGTAGTTGTTCTTCTATTTCCACATGATCTCGATAATTTTCCCTTTATAAGCGCGCCGCCAACTCGTTTCGCTCCACTTGTTGAAGTGGGTAAGCGATAACAAGTGGTGGAAAACGACCGATACGAACGATATGACACAATTTTGTCAATTGTCCAAAGCAGAGAAGAAAAAAGGAATAGAATGATCTGACGAAACTAATCCCATCCGCCTCCCCCCGCCCACCCCCCCCCCACTTGACACGCCCCATCATCCGTAGTGAACATGACTGAAACCTACTTCTCATCACTTTTTTTCATTATAAGTTTTATGTTGTGATATCGCCATGTTCTAGAGAAGAGCCTTTTCTGCTTAACTCTATGGGATATATGTACGGAACGTTGCGTGAGTCTAATCTTACAAATGCATGGGCAGAGAATACCATGATCGATCGGTCCCATAGCGAAGATATCTGGTCACGGTCGCACTGGGTAAGTATCGTTTATCGTGAGTAGATATGCTAGGCATTATATTGGGTTGGACTAAAGTAATGGAATTTTTTTTCTCACTCGAAATCTCGCGCTAAGGATGTAAAGTTTTGCCATTGCGTTTCATACTAATTTGCTTTTTTCTGCTAGTTGAAACAGTACTTGATTGAAAACACTCCTCCCTTTTTTTTCTGAAGCGTAATCCAAAAGAATAACTCTTGAAAAACTGGGAAAATTGAAAGAGATTGGAGAAACCCGTTAGGGGTGCGTCACACTTTGCGACAGTCCACCAACGTCAACCAGCGTCCACTAGCCTTTCGAGCGTCCGGCAGTGTCAGCCACCGGGAACTTATCGATCTAAGGTGTGCCAGGGTCTACCAGCGTGCACCAACGTTTCCCAGCGTTCGGCGGCGTCTACCAGCGTCCACCATCGTTTCCCAGCGTTCGGCGGCGTCTACCAGCGTCCGCCATCGTCTCGA